CTTTTGCGTGTACTTTTTTCTCTTATATAAGTACTATATTTCTTTAGCATAGAGGTTTTAACATGAAAATTTTAGTTTACTTAACAAATTTATTTCTTCAAATATCTTATATTCACAACTAAACACTAGTTTACATGCTGCTTCGTCTTTTTAAAAATCCAAAAAGGTAGATAGCATTCTTTATTTGAAATAAACTCAATTATTAACTTAATATTATATAATGAAAAATTTGTTCTTTCATGATATATTTCTCACTCAAAATAAGTTATAGATATTTTGAAAAATTCATATTTACATTTATATTTAAAATATTAAAAATAATTAATTTTGATACACTTAATATCTTAATATACTTCGCAATAATTTTTGTAAAAATGTTGATACATTCACTATATACAACCACACATTTTTCTTGAATTAATTCCAGAAAGACAATTTTCATAATTCTTCGGAATTATATTTATCTATTTTCTTATTAAAAGGAAAAATGTTAAAGAAAAAATATTTCATCTGGTTGAATCAGAAATAGCGTAGGTTTTTTGCTATGCTCTTATAATTCAGTATTCCAAATTTTTTACTTAAGATTCATCTCTTAAACAATATAGTATATATTCAATAATGTATATTATCCTTTTACAAAATAATAGTAAAGCAAAAGTAAAATAAAAATTTATCCATTTATGAGCTATATTTAAGAGAATATACTCATTAACTAGCTAAGAACTTGATTACACAATTATTTATTGATTGTTTGTTAAAAGGATTTTATAAAAAATTGAACAAATAAATTTCTAAAAATGATGTAGAGTGATCTCTGCTTATTTTATTTAACATGAAATTACTTATTATATATATTGTGTAATTCCTATATAATTACTCTATATAATTATAAATAAATATTTTATTTTATATAAAATTTATAGTTCTTTGCGTTATACTAAATTAATACTTTATTATTCTTAGAACCTTTGATTTTATATAAACCTTTATTTAGTTTAATAAAAACCCATATTTACTATTATTAAAATTTAAATTCTCAATGCCTTCAAATATTACGTAAAATAACGCATATTATTATGTTTTAGGAATAATTTAACTTGTCTACACGATAAAATTTTATTTATGTTGATAGCAGTCATTTATTAATAAATTCACAAAAAAAAATATTAGATTTATTTTTTTATTAGAAAATCCAATCCACATATAAGATGTAAAAAAAAAATTTTTTTAATATATACATTTTCTCAAATAATCTATATACACAACTTGCAATTAGCTATGTCCTATATCATTTTAATGAAAACTCAAAAAGGCCATAATATGCTTTGTTAACCAAAGAATTAATTGATGAATTTTTAATAATAAAAAAAAATAAATTTTATCACTTACATAAGTTAATTTTTTTTATGAAAGATAATATCTATATATTATGTTATTGATTTAATAACTAGTTGTTCAATATTTTTGTATTAATATCGAACAAACAAGTTAATGAAAATCATGTATAGTATCCCTACACTAATTTTAATTTATGTAGAGTTTATATTTAGGTTGTAGATAGAAAATCTTTATACATATGCCTTGTATATAAGAATATTTATAGTTTTAGAGATACATATTTATTTCAATAAAAATTTATTCTAATTCTTTTAAAACATAAACCCTCCTTATGAAAATATTTGATTGATTATATGTAAAATAATCATTTAAATTAAATTTACGAACGACGTTTAAAAAAATTATGAAAATTAAACATAAGAAAAAAATATTTTTTGTTTTTTTTAAGTTCGAATTTTATTTTTTATGATATCAAAATTAGTTCTATCAACAAAATTTAATTCCATAAAATAAAATTCCTTTTAATTTTTTGTTTAAATAAATATAAAAAGATAATTAATGAAAACAATGTACAAAAAAAATTAAGTCTTCTTTTTAGATATCTATTTTTTTAAGAAATGAAAAACTAAATATAACTTGTTATTTTATACATAATTTAGTTACTATTATTTTATAAAAATTTAATATTTTCTTTTATTAACCAATCATAAAATTCTTGTAGATATTGAATATTTAACTTTTAATAAGCGTAAATAATAGTTTTTAATAATCTATAAAAATATGTTTATAAAATCTAATACACTAATATTAAAAATAATATTTATTTAACATATAATTAATTAAAGGACTATTAAATTTATATTAAATAAACTGTTTGTTTCATGTTATATAACATAATAAGGACTATATATTGTAGTTAAAAGGTATTTTTGTAAGCAAAATTAGTACATGAACATACAATAATTAAATCAATTTTAAAAGAAGAATTACAATAAACTTATTTATAAACACTCATTTAACTAATTTTTTGTTTATATATATTTTGAATATATAAATGAGGAATATAAACATCAAAAAGAAAAATATTAATAAAAATAATGATACAATTTTTAGTGCAGATAATACAGTTGTTCGTTAAAATACAAGACTGAATCATTTATCATAGTTAAAAAAATTAAATATAAAAATAGAAATGGGATATTTTAGATTATATTAGTAATAATAATAATTTAAATTAAAATTATATGAACGATAATAATCAAGTTTGTGTTAAAATTATCAAAATAATAATGGAGACATGAATTTTGTCATTAAACATATTCGGATAATATTATTAATGGCAACTACTCCATAAAAACAAGTAATATTATAAGGGATTTAATTTATTAGTATGTATATAAAAATAACATATATGGAAGTTTAAATAATGTAAATTAATTTTATAATTAAAACATCAAAATATATAAAGACACATTAAGAATAATAAATATAAAAAAATAAGGTGTTGACAAATTTAACTTTAGTAATTTTAATAAATTAAATTATTATAAAAATTTTGCTTAAAAACACTTTTAATTATAGATGATAATATAAGGATAAAAATTAAGAAGATATAAAAATAACAGAAATTTCATTTTTAAGAATGAGAATAAGCAAAAATATAAATTAAAATGGAATTAAGAAAATGCTATCTATTTCTTTTGCATAAACGTTGCATTATATGGATATTAATATGTAAAAAAATTATTGTAAATATTTATATTCTTTTTATTAATAACATAAAAAAACAAAAATTTAAAAAAAAAAATAAATTGAAGTATTTAATTTGATATATAATAAGAGGCATTTAAATTTTTTGTGAATAGATTAAAAAGAAACCTAGACAAATTAATGAAAAAGCGTTTCAGAATAAAAAATTTTAAGTATAAAAAAAAAAATGAAATAATTATTAGAAAAAAGATATTAGTACTAAAAATGTTGGATATTATTTAATGATGTAATTGTTAATAGTATCCAATAAAGAAATAGAAAAATAGATAACTTTTATAAAAAATAAGAAATACAACTGATAAATAAATTATAAGTGTGGAGTTGATCATTACTTCAAAAATTAATTATATGATTAATTATAAAAAATATTATAAAGATAAAAAAATAGAACTAAGAAATTTTATTTGTTGCATATTATTATGAAAATGATAAGATATACCCTAGTTTAATTTTAAAATAAGGGAAATTTTATAATAACGAGAAAATTTAAATATAAATTGATTGCATGCAATCATTTATCATTTTTATGTAAATAAATTTCATAGGATATCTGATGTTAATAATTACAATAAAAAAGAAAATAATTAAATATATACAAATATATATATGTAATTTAATTTTTAGAAGTGTAATAATAGATTCTTAAAATATGGATATAATAAAAAATAAAGTAAAAATAAACATTACTTATATATTTTTAAGTGGGTAGAAACAAATGATAATTATTTTGCATCATAATTGAATGTCATGGTAATAATATATATATAACGTATTAAATAATATCCATTAATAAATTTAGCAACCCATATAATTATAAAGTAATAGTGCTAAAATATTAGTAACTAAAACAGATAGAAATAAACTGTACTATTTTGCTTTATGTAAAGATATTTTTAGTAAAATAAATATTTAAGAATAGATTTTAATTAAAAAAAAAATTAAAATTAAATTTTAAAAGAAATAAATCATTGACTTACATAATGGTCATAATTATGTGACCCAAGTTCGCTTTCTGATTTCTTATTATTTATGTGATGACGAATAAATTAAAAAAAAATTAATACATAAACAAAAGATTGTAAATAAGTTTTGTTAATTTTCTTAATAAATCCTGTGTTTTTTTATAATGAATTTATTTTGGTTCAAATTATAGACCATATTTGATATATTTTTTAAAAAACAACTTGCCATTTTTTAAAAGCACCTCGTAAAATTAAGAATGTTTAATTTATAACTCATATATATACATATTTTTTTAGCATTGTCAGCGTAAACACATATTTAGAAAATGATTGCTCGATATTACCTGTTTCTATCTTATTTTTCTTTTACTTCAGTTATACACCTATCTCTTTAAGAAATATTTTACAACGTGATTTTATATATTTATAGTAGAAAATTTTTTTTTATTTTAAAGATAAATTTTAATAGTTTCTAAAGTTATATAATTTTCTCTCGTACATAATTTTTTTTTTATTGTACTTTTATGAATGCTTTGAGATAAATGTATATTATATTTTACTTTTATTTGATTTTATATATTTTCATGTACACTTACACACTTTTTTTTTTTTTTTTCCTTTGTTGCATTTTTACTTCCTTTGTACACACACTCAAAGGTAATGTACTAATAGAATTTATTAGATATAATAAATTGTAAATTATATATATATGTATATATATGTAATTATATTTTTCATATTATATTTATAGTAAATACTAATCATAACCTGGAACAAATGAAATTGAACAATATATATATTTTGATAAATATAGTAAAAAAGAATATTCTAAAATTACACATATACAAAAAATAAACAAAATTTATTAAATAAAATATTCCATAATATATTTAAATTTTTCGAAAATAAATTAAATTGGTATTAAGTAAAATGGAAAAAAAAAAAATATTGGTAACCTTTTTCACTTTCCTATTTATTATTTTTGGTAAACCAATATATACAATGTGCGTACTTTTGTTAATATTATTCGAATATATTTAAAGAGATAAATATTTTTGTTCTTAGATTCAAAATTTATTAATTTTTATTTTATATATATTTATATATAGGTTTAAGCTATGAGAGAAAACTAAAATCAAACAAACTTAAGTATAGTATAAATAATTTACAATTTGGTGTAAATTTAGATGAAAAAGAAAATGAATATAACAGAAAAATTGATAGTGTAGAAAATAAAGTTCAAAAGAAATCTTATTTACTTAAAAATATATCATCTGTAAATTCAGAAAATTCTAAAGTTAATAAGAGACAACCATATCTTGTATATACAAAAAAAAATGTACCCCATTTTGATGAAATAAGTGACGTTAAAGAAGATAAAAAAAAGAAAAATACTAATAGTATTACAAATTTTTTTATTCAAAGTAGAAGTTCATTATCAAATGATGCCAATTTTATTGATGATTATAAAAAATTAAACACCTCAGTTACTGATCATATATTAAGAGCAAAAGAAAATTATATTTTAGGACTTTCTTATGTTGATGTTGGTTCTTTTTACATGATTAAAGAAAAAAAAGAAAGTCATGAGAAATTTAGGAAAAATCATGAAAAAACAATGTGGGATTTTCATAAATGTTCCTTAAAAATTGTGAATTTCTATATTAATACTAAATATGACATGATAAATAAACTAGGTTATTTGCTATTAGTAGAAAAAGATGTAGAAAGATATAATTCATATAAAAAGGAGCTTCAAAATATCAAATTAAAAATAGAAGAGGATGTAAAATCTACAGAAAATGATGATATCAATTGTACAAAAACAAAGGATATTGTTTATGATGCTTTAGGTCATAGCATAAACGAAGCATATTGTGATGCCTCTACATGTAATATTGAAAAATGCAAAAATGTTTGTTGCCCTAATAAATGTTGTTATGAGTTAAATTGTTTCTATACAAGAATATTTGTAAGTTATGCGCAAATAGCAAAAAAAAAAATAAATAAAAATAGAGATAATGAATTTATACAAGAAGTTGATAATTTCTTAAATTCTTATGAATCCAATGAAATTAAAAAAAGCAGCTTTAATAAAAAGTCACTTAAAAATTATTTAGATTTACTAATTGAAGAAGTAAAAGGTATTAAAAATGATTATGAGGAACAAAAAAAACTTGCATATCAGAGTTATGATAAGTTCTTGGCTCTAGAGAAAGGTGCTCCTAAAATGACTTTTTCTAAGTCGAACCTTGTGAATGATCTTGCTCCTGCTTCAATTGAATTTAAGAAGACCTTCCATTATGCAGATTGGAACGAAATATTAAGAGATAAATTTTATGATCATAAAATTAATTTTTATATTTACTTTTATGGTTTATAAAAATTTAAAAATCTAATAAGATTTAACATAAATATATAGCATATCAAAAATTTCCACCAACAAAATTAAACTTAGAAAAAATATATTCTGTAGTTTTAAATAACACTAGTACGAAGGACATATTTAATTCATTTAATATGAAATATATTACAATTATATCTAAAAAATTTCAGATAAAAACGAGAAAAATTTTCATATAAAATGAAGTATATAACTTTAAAGGAATTACAAATAATTTGAAAATAAAAAAAGTAATGAAAATATTACAATATTACTAGATGAGAAAGTTAATGAATTATAGAGATATCATAAAGAATTTAATATTAAGAAATAAAATTTATAATTTAAATTAACAAGATAAAATTAAAAAAAATTATACACAAAAATTGAAAAAACAAAAATATAGGGAAAATTATATGTCATTTAGAGGTATTAACTAAATACCTAGGTTAATACTAATTATTAATTTACAAGAAAATTCAGATAAAGATATTAAAATTATTGAAAAATTAGAATAAAAAGCATTCTTTGATAATGTTATATGTATAATGAAAAAAAGAGAAGAATAAAAATGTTTCCTTAGCTTTAATATTATTTTTTGACTAAATATTGTTAGAAAAAACATTTATAGAAATATGTCAATTTATATTTGAAAAATAAAAACTAAAAAATTAGAAAATAGAATAAGTACACTTAGAAAAATATTATATGTGATTTATAATTCTTTACACCTTTTTGAAATAAGTGTAGAAATTAATCTAAGGGTATTATAAATTACCATTTGTTTTAACCATCTATTCAGAAACTTATGAAGATTATTAAACGGATAAATTAATAAATAAAATTAAGAGTAGTCTCTATTTGTTTTTTTTACTTTAAAAATGTTTTGCTAAGGAATGCATAATCTTATATAAATATATCACATACAATAAAATAAATAGTTTCTTTAATATAACATTAGCTTATTAATTGTCTATCTAATTCCTATAATATAATATTGAATAAAAAAATTAATAAGTAGCATATAAAATTATATTTTCCATTTTTTATTACTTTTAAATTTATGTGGTTGTTACAGATAGGTAAACCTTATATATATGGTTAACATTAGCGAAAATTTATTATTTTAAAAAAATTTATTTTAATAAAAATTTGTTCTAATTTTTGTTAAAAACATAAATACTCATTAAAATCACAGATTATGTTTAAAATAATATTTTAAAAATAAAACAATAAGTTCAAGTTAAAGTTATTAACAAATATTTCAAATAAGTAAAAATTAAATATTAGCAAAAAGAAATATTTTTTTCTTTTTTTTTAACATCTAACTCAACTTTCATGATGTTTTAAATTAACTTTACCAACAAAATTTTAATCTTCCCCCCAAAAAATGTTTTTTTAAAAATTTAATTTTAAAAATATAATTAGCAAGAATAAATTGCAAAAGAAAAATAAAAAAAAATTTTTTTAATTATCTCTTATATTAAAAGTTAATGTATATAATTAACTAGTTAACAGAAGTATGTGCTAACTATAATTTCATAGAAATTTAATATCTTTTATTAATAAAATATTTACAACCCTTTAGATGAAAATATGCTAATATTTTATTATCCCTAATTTGTCAATTATTTTTATAAGAACTATTTATTAACTTTAGTAAAAATTTTACTTGTTTTTATGAGAACTTACATTCCTAATATAAGAATCTTCAACCATGTGAAAAGTGATCTTTCATTGAAAATTTGTATTTCTTCAAAAAAAAAAAATTTTATCAAAAATAAATTAATTATGAATCAAAAATTAATTTTTATCATTAATATAACTAATCAGAGGATATAAAATAATTTCCAAAATAAAAATAATTAAAAATAAAGAATAAAATATAATTATCTATATACGTAATGTCTCAAAAAAAAAAAATGTTTTATTTATTATTGTAAATATCATAAGGTGTAGGTTTTTGCTATAATTTTAAGATATTTTCTTATATTCTACGCATACACAGCTGTTTTTTCACTTGACAATACATTACTAATTTAGACATTTAAAAGGGTTAATAATTCTTTTTATTCGTTCATCCTAATAAACTTACTGAGTTTTTAAAAAATATCATTTCATATGTATTAAATATTTACACAGCATAAATAAAAAATATCTTTATTAATTAAATATTCTTTAAATTATTTTATTCTTCATGATGCTGCAACATATTCATTGAGAAATTTTCTTTTATAAAGTTATATCTGAATAAAATTAAAATATCTCTAGTAATTTTCATAATTTCTTAAAACATAAAATTGAGCTATATTCCTCAAAAAAGTTCTTTTTCTTAAAAGAAAAATTTCTTTTTTATTCTTTTTTCATTTAAATATATAACATAATAAATTAGTCTAAATTGATATGTTTTTATCTTAAATATCTTCTTCACTTTGTTAAATGTTTACATCATGTTATTAATTCATTAATATAAAAAGGACAATATTAAATTTTATTGACCATTATGGCACAAAAAAAAATATTCACTGAAATTCATAAATATTTAAGTGATATTACATTAGTTGCATAATGCAATGTAAAATCTATAATAAATAATATTATCGTTAATTTTTCTGCCTAAAAACTTTTATAGTATATTGAAAAAAAAAATTAATAAAACGAATGCTGACTTATCTTTCTGTGCTTTTGCAGCAATGAATCTTGTATCTAATATATATTCCTTTATATCCATGTTGTGTAACATGAAATAAATTTATTATTCTTAATTAACTAATTTGTAAAACCTTCTTAGATCTTTATAAAAATGTTTACTTATTTTTATTAAAAAATGTATATTTGATATATATAAATATTTATTAATATATTAAATTTAATCAGAGGTTAAATTTCAATTTATTATTAATCCACTAAAAAAATAAATAAAAAAAATTAATAACATAACTATTTTAAATCAAAAAAAAAAAAATAAAAAAAGTGATTTACAATAAAAATAATATTACACACTAAAAATTATTGTGACTCTAAAAACCTACATATTTATTTTTAATGTACATACCTCGAAGTAACATTTTTAACTAGAATTTGTGGTATCTTCTTATATTCACTTATGTGCAAGTGATTTTTTCTTTGTCATTGTTTTGTATTTATGGGTTAAATATTTTAAAGTATTAGCAGTACTTTTTATTAATCTACTATAAAAGAGTTTGAATGATTTATTAATTGCCTGTTCAATGAATTATTATTATAGAACAAATAAATTAATAAAAAGTATATAGAAAAAATTATACTTGTTTTGTTTTCATAAAAGATAAAAACATTAAGCAAATTATTTACTTTTTTTCTTAAATAATATAAAATATTAATTACATCGTTTACTTACTACCTTAGTTAACTTACGCGATATTCTATAGATGTAATTTTTAACATTACATTTCTAATCTTGTATAAAAAGAATGCTCCACATTGTTATCCTCCAAAAAAAAAAAATAAGATAAAATAATCAAAAAATTATTTTTTCTTTAAAGTCAGAATCATACACAAAAGAAAAAAAAAAATATATAATAAAATATAACTGCATTTTTCTTAATGTACATACTTTCTATGTACTTATTTTTTTTTAGTATACGCGTATATGTTAGCACATTTTACACGAATTTTAACATGCACAAATAAAAGTGTTTTTACTCATTTTATATATTTAAATATTATTGAAAATAGGTTGATAATATTATTTATAGGATAAAATACAAGAGTAAAAAAATATATTACGTAATGATACTTTTTATTTTGTTCACTTGAAATTCTAAAAATACCATTTATTCTAGTAAATTAAAGATTATAATAAATTAATATAAAAATTAAATAATTTTTATTATATATATAATTATTCTAATATATATTCTTTTATTTTTGATTTTAATATAACATTAACATTATAAATTTTTAAAAAATTCCATATATTAAATTTTTCTTTTTTTTTTATTTTTTTTGTATGATTTAAAAATAATAATCCACAAAAACTGTAGAATAATGAAATCAAGCTTGATCCAAGAATGCTGGTATATATTTGACAACTTTTTATTATTAAGAATTTTACAAATATGCTTTACGCATACAATATATTTTTTTTTTTTTAATTATTTTAATAGCAATGAAGAAAATATTTTAATAAGTCAAAATAAGATAATTTTAGTAAATTATTGTGTTGTCTAGAAAATTTACTATCCATTTCAAAAATAATGCTTATCAATTTACAGAATCCATAAAATTAGAAAAAGTATTATTTATTATTTTTTGGATATCTCTGATTAGAACAAAACAGGCCTCATTTAACGTATATTGCTTATAATATATCTTTTAATTTACAGTGTAATGCTATTATGAAGAAAAAGATAACTTCACATTAAAAAGAAATCTTATTATTTCTCAAAATTCAAGTTATATGAAGTTTTACTAATGTTATGAAACAAATTTTTCTTTAATTACAAAATTATAGTTCTATTGTGAAAGATACAAATTTAAATTTACAACAGAATAATACTTCATCATAAAATATATAATTGGATTTAAAAAATAATACCTCAGAATTACAAAATAGTATCTGAGAATTACAGAATGTGAGAAAAGATATGGAATAAAGTAAAATCAGCATATATGAGACGTATAAAATTTTACATATTATAACATCTAAATGACAAGGTACTTTGCTAATTAAGTGTTCAATTTTTTTGTCAATGTTAAACATATTAATAAGGAGGATGTAGAGAGATCTCTATTTATATTGTTTATTATAAAATAAAGTATTGCATAGACTATTAAGTATTTATAAATTGTATTAAATATCAATAATATTATTTATTTGTTATTTGATTCAATTTACGTAATACATCATATTTTACATTTTTAAAATCCCCAAAAAATAAAATTATTTTCTTTTTTTAAAAGTTATATACAAATAAAAAATTAAAAAAAAATTATAATTTATTTACATGTTTGTTTTT